AAGGATTAGAACAAAGGTCTTAGGTTTGGTATACATGCACCTTATCCAATGCAACAGGTGCTGCAGGTGCATTGGTTTTTTCATTTTTTTTAAATACTACCATAAATGATATAGGTAGATAGATGAAAAGTTCCGAAGTTTGTATACAAGGCTGCATTGCCAGCTATTGGGGGCCTCCTGGCTCCGGATGTAAAATTTGGTACTTCTGAACACTTATGCATATATAATACTTGAATAAATTTAGGGCGTTGTAATTCATCATCAATCAAAATCTCAAGCTCCAACCCAATTTCCCTTTTTGACTCAAAATTTAAAGTTGATTCCTAGGATGATTCATTCTGCAAAAGATCATGGACGGCAACACTAGGAGTGAAAAGACAACAGTTACCAGACAAATTTTAATTGACGACATATCGTTTAACGATTCACTGTTTGAAACAATGGTTGAGAAAATGGATAACCCAACAGATGAAAATTGAATCTAAATGAAATATTGCTCTTGGAAATTCTATTCTTGTTTCTCGAAGATTTTTAATTGAGTGATCAGCTCGTGTTTTTAGTCCAAAGTCGAACCACATTAAGATTGAAAATTGATGATTGAAGAAACATGATGACTGTGAGTGTGCTACAAGGCGGTATAGCCGGTGATAAGAGGGCAGGAAGGTCTTGTGGTGAGAGAGATGTTTGACTAGAGGGTGAGATCTTTAGGGTCTTCAATGATCTTTGACAGTGTTTGCAAGAAGGAAGCAAGATCAGCACCATAGATGACACGATGATCTGCAGTAACATTTACCTGAAAAGGGTGCAAGTTTCAAGGTCATAATCCAAGGCTGTATATCCAGAAATATCATCTAGGGAAGACCAAAGCAAAAGACGTTTCTTTTTTCCTTGTTTGGAAGAAGCACATCATGGCAAAATATCTCAGTTACCTGCATCTGGTTCTTCATGCCAATTCGACCGTCCTTGGTAGCTACAACAGCAGGTTGAGAGGCTCCAACTGCCATTATTGCTCCCTGCATAAATAAAAACAGATAAATGATATAAAACATTCCATATTCAGACCTACAGGATTTACTTGCCTCTTAGACAGAATGGCAAATCAGAAAGATACTCATAGTGACAAACTTACAGTTCCTGGTGGCAGAATGGCATCAAATCGATCCACACCAAACATCCCAAGGTTAGAAAGAGTGAAGGTACCTGTAGAACAAAGAAACAACAAATTTAAGGTTAGAAACCAAAGATGATCATGACTACCAAAGAAAATTTAAACAGAAAAATTGGAAAAACCAAAGATTACATTTCAGATTTAGTTAGAAAAATCTCAAATACCAGCTGGCTGGTAGTAAAGAAAATCTAAGATCAACATCCCATCTTACATCAAGCTTTATGTAAGTTGAATTTTTATACATTTGTAATGGACAGCAAAAATAAATGAATGCAATGGTGCTGAAAGCTTTAGCATGTGCAGAATGATGTTTACTCACCCAGCTTTCCAGAAAGAAAATTCATGCGGGCACAGAATAGGATACCTGTATTGTATTCATGAGGTTGCAGCTGCTTAGCCCGGGCCTTATCAACCAACTCTTTCCACTTTCTTGATAGTGAATAAATGTCAACCTAAAATACCCATCACGAGAAACAAAATCAGTACAAATTATATCTAATAAAAATACAGAGAAGCCAAAGTAGAGAAACAACAACCTTGTCGGCATCCTGGAGCACTGGCGTAATCAATCCACCATCCATAGCCACAGCAACTGCTATATTGATGCTACTATTATATGTAAAGCTCTTCCCATCTCTACAACTAGAATTGACTACAGGATGTTTAGCCAATGCAAGAGCTGTTGCCTTGGCAAGCAGTGCTGTCATTGTTACCCCCTTGGACTTGATCTAAACAGAAGCCAGAAATCATGAAAAAAGAAATACAAGTCCGCTCTGACACAACTCAAAATTGCAATTACAGCTATGGAGCTACCTTAAACAGCCTAAGCATAAATAAAACCAACAAAACCATCTCGAAAGGACTTAGATGTCACAATCTATCATACATAGTAAGAACATTGTTAAGAAGCAACTAAATGAAGAACCACAAACAACAAACACCATTCCCCATTCCAAACCTCATACCATAACTGCTAAGAATTTACTATTGTCCAACAAAAAATAACCTTCTTCCATACTTGATCAACAAAATCATTAGCTAACCAACTCGAAATAAAACAGCAATAGTCATCATACAAAAGACAATCTAGAGTCATCAATTTTCATAAAAGAATTTTACCTTCTTGTACAAAGCATCAAGCGCATCGGTGGTAATTGTGTATCCAACTCTAAAAGTCGGCACAGTCAAACTCTCCACCATGTTCCTACTCACAGCACCTTGCATTGTTGTAAATGGAACCACTGATCCCAGCTCGATTCCTGGAGCTGCAGTCCCCACCTTAGCAGGAGTAGCAGGTGCCACTTCAGCAGCCACTGTACCAGCAGCAGCGGCAGCCTCAACATCCTTAGCCACGATTCTCCCCATTGGCCCAGACCCTGCTAATGCCGCTAAATCAACCTTCAATTCCTTCGCCAATTTCTTCGCATAAGGTGACGCCACTATCCTCTTTCCTCCTTCCGAAGCTGGGTGCACTGCAGAACCCAGTGCAGCCGCTTTCGAACTAGAAACAGTGGAAGCAGCAGGAGCAACAACCTCCTCCTCTGCCTTATGCTTCTGCTCAGGTACCTGTACGCTACTACTCGACGCAGCACCGGAGGAAAAAGCTTTCGCTTTTGCGTCAGCAATCTCATCCTCACTCTCAGCAAGGAGCGCAATTGCGGAGCCAACAGGAGCAACACCCCCCTCCTCGACCATGATAGCAGCGAGGAACCCATCGTGGAAGGTCTCAACATCCATATCGGCCTTATCAGACTCG